AGTTCCGTGTGTTTGTACCCCAGCTTTGTTTGTTCTAACATGCAAGATCTATAATCAACTATTTTTTTCCCATGTCCTGTTGTTGATTCATGCATGTTTGAGGTATCATCTTTTCTTAAATCCCAGACACTATTTCCCCCCTGACTCCTTTTATCATCACCACTGTTTGAAAACTTTTTTGACAATTTTCTTCATTAAATACATTGATGTTACCAGGTTTCCACTGACATCATATAAAGGAGGAGGGTGATTTGTACAATGGATTTCTGCTCTCAAGTCAATATAAGTTTACAATAAATTTAATAAAACCTAAGTTGAGCATAAGCCGCACTTGTTTTAAACAATTTAGCAATGAGTAATCACAAAAATATAAGGGATTTGGCATCTGCGCTACAGCGATGGTGATGCAAACAAGTGCGTCTTATAAACTGGAATAAATAAATAGGGACTGTATTTTAAAATGCTTTATGAACAATCACATTGGCAACTTGCAGCAGTTAAATTCTCTTTACACCAACATATAAAAACACATGTTTTTCTATATAACGGCAAAATTAGGGCTGGGCAATAAAACGATAATGATATATTCGCGATAGAAACGTGTTCGATATCAATAGAAAACAGGGTCGATTCGAATGTTCGATAGTTCAACTTCACTCTGTTAGAAGGAAGTAAATCCGAGTCAGAAGCGCACGGCATTCTGGGGGATGTAGGCAGAGACTTCTCGACCGATCACAGCCGAGTATGAACCGCAAAACATTATGGAAAATGCAAAAACAACAACAACAGCAGCACCATGCGTAGTGTCCATGGATCAACAGATCGTGTTTCAATGTCATGTCAATGGTTATGCCTGTCCGTGCGGCGCGGGAGAGGCAGTGGACACAGAGAGCCCATTTGGCGAAAGCGAGAGATTAACTTTTTCCTCGGGAAGCACAGACACACGGAGCCGTCACGGGGACACAAGATACTCAAAAACAGCCAAAACAGGAGCTAAACCAGGACTAACAACGGGGGACACAGTGTGAACATATTCCTCGAGCCTCATTTCCCTGTCACTGTATACAAGGCGGCTAACGTGTCTTAGCCGACACGACAAATGTATTTATTTAGGTTTAAAAACATAAACAAAAAAACAATCAATATATATCGTTATTGACCGATATGAATTACTTATATTGTGATATAGTTTCAGCCATATCGCCCAGGCCTAGGCAAAATAATGCATATTTGAATTCAAGTTCTGAAATAATTAATACAATAATGTTGGAAGGGCCAAAATGAATACAAAACAATTATATTAAATGCATTTTCTTGACAAATATTATTGGTAAGGTGAAATAAAGTTAGAATTAATATTTTAGAAGCGGATATAACTTCTCACATTATGAATAAGTGCTTTGAGCCAAAACGAGCCGCTCTCTTCATAAAGTGGAGCCTGGTTAGCCGTCATTACTGAGGACTGAAGTGAAGAACGGATCAAATACAGAGAGTAAGTGTGCCCACGAAGAGGTTGAATTTAGCTAAGCCACGGCGCGAGGAGCAACGCGACCAGAGACTGTGATGAAATACGCTGTAGGCAGAGCGCGCATCACAAAGTGTATTAGTCAGTGTGCCTGTGCGTGCACCGCGTACCTTCAGCTTTTTAAAATGTCTTGAATGATAGGCTTCGGCTTCTTCTGCCTGACTACCAGAGCTGGCACGCATTTTGTCCGCACAAACTGAATACATTGCTTTTGAAGAGCGGTGGGGCCCAGCCTGGGACTGGAATTCACAAAAATACATGCTCCAAATGTGTGATGAAATTTTCAGTACCACGGACAGCTGCCCTGGGGTATCCCGGCTGAGGAAGCGTATGTAAGAGTCCAACCACAAAACAGCAGTGAGCCAATGAGGTCATTTGATAATTGAAGTGGGCATCATCCTCTCAACCCTGTACATTTCAGAAGTTTATCTTCTGCTCCATGAAAAGTGAAGGCACTCACCCCAAACATGCATACACTCCTGGGGCGGCAGCACCCTGCTCCTCTGCCTCTGTGTCCTGGCTGCATAATGCAAGGCCTTAACCAGTCGCTCAAGCATGAGTGGATAATCGGGCCACAAGGACAGGCTGTGTCAACATTTCCTTATCCTTCCTTTTTTATTTATTGATATAAACAGCAGCCGATAGACAGAGAGGAGGGTGTGACTAAAGGCCACTGCTAAAACTGAACAGCAGCTGCAGATGGAGACCAACACTCAAATGGTCCATGAACTATGGCCACAACTATGGTTTCCTTGTTTCTTTTTTTATTTTCTTTTGATTAATCTTCAACAAATATTCTTCTGCTTTATTCATAGCCGGGCCACAGAAGCAGCCGTTATGAAGAAGTGCCCAGAGTTCCCTATTCATGGACACTTCCACTAGCTCATTCAGGGATTCCTGAGGCATTCCCGGGCCAGTCGAAGGACATAGTCCCTCTAGTGTGTCTTTCTCAGGGTCTCCTCTGGTGGGACATGATTCTACTTGTCAAACAATTATGTCCATTGCGAACTGATCTGTTATAACACGATTTGACTAATTTAGTTAAAGTATTCATTTACTCTGTGTTCATAATAAAATATATATTTTGTGTACTTTGCCTTTGCTAATTGAACACTCAACTCTGATTCAAATAATACAAGAAATATGTTCTTATGGGACATTTTCTTTTAACATGTGATTATTACATGACATATACGTTGAGGAGTTAGTGCTGGACTCCACCGGCCGCGTCTCTGTTAACGCACATAGGCTGCTGGCCGTCCCACGTGCATAAAACGGAATAGTGGGAACACCGGCCCCAGCAGCAATAATGTAGTAAATATATTTTTCCTTTGTATTTCCAATGAAAAACGGACCACACGCAAGTCAACGTACGTAAAAGATAGGATTGTTTCTATTTCGTCCGTACGCGTCCGTTGCACCCTGTGTGGACAGACTGCTCCCTACGCGCGTCATACGGATGCATGTCGCGGGCAGTGGAGCCACTTCCATTCACCCTCATGGAGAAAACAGAAACGGAGATGAAAAGGACAAGTTTGGACGGATACGTAGAACGTTTTACGCAGCCGGTGGAGTTGGGGCCTAACACTTACATACTTGCAAACTACAGTCTAAATTGTGCATTTGAAAGTTATAGCAGACATATTTTTGATATATAGAACAAGGAGCTACTGGAGTAAACTTTCTACACACTGATCCTGTGTTGTTGAGAGCAGAGACTTGTCTCAAAGCGGAGAGCAGCACACTCAGGCCAGATGGAGAATTTAAGTGTCTAAAGTTTGTCGCTCGAACATTCACAATGATCTGCCTAAATCCTTTTGGAAGCATAGCTGTGTGCCTTAATTCAGCGAATGTTTAAACTCTATGCACAATGACTTGCATTTTTGAACGATTCAGGCTGCCTTTTGTTTACTGGGTCTAAATAACCGCAACAATATGAGTCTTCTATAGCCAATCAGCAGCTGCAGCTGTAGACTCTAATCCTCTTTAATTTGTGATTATTTGGAATTCTAAATAGTAGCCCACTAAACCATGGGAGAGTCATTGAGTAAAAGGGCCGCCTGCACTGTACAACAACCTGGTTACAGATAAGAGAAGGAAAAAAAGCATATATATCCCAGGCTCTCATAGGAGGTATTCAAGTAAATTACCATAAAATCACTGAACAAATATTTTGGCATCCATCACAGAGCATAAACTGCTAAACAGCTGTGAGCCCTCTCTATATTAATAAAGGAGCATTTCATTGGCATTCTTGTGGCTGATGACTTTAGCCTCACACGTTCCCCGCACAAATTAGAATGTGAGAATTGAGTGGGATTTCATACAGCAGTAAGATAAGTGTATTTTAAAAGGCAGGGCTGATTAGGCTGCAGGGAAGAGTGGAGGAATTAGGTAATTATCTTCAATAGACTCCACGGTTGTGCTGTGAGAAAGGGCCCAGTGCTGTGTGATCAAAGTGCTTCCTGCGTTCAACTATGTCAGCATAATCCACGCCTGCTTCACCTGGATTTCACCTTACCTGGCAACCCCACAGTCCCGGGACGATTCAGTAAAAACGTTCTATTTAAAAGCTCTAAGACACAATCTGACAACTTCACCAGAAACTTCTCCAAAAAGTTAGCTCAAAGTAAACGCTAACTTTGTGTTGTGCCTCTCATTTATTGATAGAAAGCTTGGCATAAGATTTATTTTGTCCACCAGGTTAATTCATTATTGATTCACAGGGCAGGATTCTGGAGTCTAATAGTGAGGGCTTTTGCACCTTTCACCGAGTAGTTTGGAGACTGCGCTTACTCGCCTGTTTTTCCGTTCAATTAGAGGTGTAATGTCGTGAAGCAAAGAGTTTATAACAAGCTGTGTGATGTAAACAGCCTGCGTGTTAAAGCCGGGTTGCCTTACTTTCACATCCACAAAACAATTGTACTATGCAATAAAAATCAATTTAACTTGTTCCTTGCTCTCAAAACAATTTAGTTCTATCACTAGTTTTTACATGCATTGATTTTGGCTTCTATCCATTCTTAAGATTAGCTTTTTCAGATGGAAGTGACAAAGAGAGGACCACCCTCAATCATCCAATCAACTCTCTGCCCAAAACGTCAAATAGTGACTTACAAGTTCACTTTTTTCACTGTTTTATTTTATTCTTTTTCAAAACAATTAAAAAGATATTGTTTGTGGAAATAAAATGTAGGCAGCCCAGCTTTAAGAGAGCATGCAAAGGAGACAAAATTCAACAAGATCATTTCAATAGTCAACTTTGGATTTTGGCACGCGTAAAAACTATCCAACTTTGCATACAAGTTGAATAAGAAGCAAAGGGCATTATACAGGCTTGTCATGAGCTGTTACGGTGATATATATAAGTACATCTACGTAATAAATGTTTCCTACCTGCTCGTAGCAACTCTCCCAGGTGAGGTTGAGGAGGCAGGAGGAGGACAGCTCATCTTCTTTACGCGCACAGCCCTCCATGCGAACAGACAAGAGCCGCGATTCGGGAGGGGTCTTCAGGATCTGCTTTATTCGACTGTCTGTCCCTCGCAGCGTCTTTCCTCCTCTTCTTCCCCCGGCTGAAGCGTCCCTTAGCCCGGGTATCAGCTCGGTCCGGTGCCGTAGAAGCAGATCAAACAGCCGAGTCTGGCGCGAAGGAGCGAGCTGTCTTCCTCTATCACGTGGTGGCTACTTTCTATCTCCCCTCCAAAAAAAATAAAAAAACATTATAATTTTCTTTTCTTTTTTTTGGAACAGCAATGTGTCCACCCCCAATGCGGCCAGATGTGACTCAAAGCCCAGACTGCGGAGTCTAAAATTATATATAGACACTGTTTTTTTTTTTTTCATGAGGCTATAAACTTTTGACTTCCGGTTTGTGATTCATACCATCCACCTGGTGTGGAGCTGCTAATTAGCCTTCTCAGCAGTGCAGAAAGTGCTGCTGCAACACTGCTTTTATGTGTCAAACTTAACTTTAAAATATTGTAAAGTTCACACCAGGACTTAGAAAACTACAAAAACTCTCAGAACCGTCATTTTGAGTGCTCCCATTCAAGCCAATGGAATTCTGAGAAATTTCCCCAAATAAGTAAGTTTTCCACCAGAGTTACAAGACCTTTTACGAGACTTTCTAATCACTTTTAATAAGTTTTAAACCAGTAAAAAAAAATTTTTATTAAAGACCAAATTCTAATTGCAGCAAGCAAACACCTTGGCTATGGTAACTTGCCCTTCTCTGGTGATACATTGAGTTGTCTGCTCAGAACCAGGACCAGTCCAGAACCAGTTTTGGACTAGCACCTTGAAAAGGAAATTATTTTGTTTATTTTTTTCACTTTTGCTGCTCAGAAAAACCTTCTCCACTCAGTGGCAGACACAAACACAGATGTACAGTGTGGGCGGAGGACACTCACATAAAAAAAAAATTGAAACTTGAACTATCGCTAAATACACAATCATAATCTTTTATATCTTTCACACAGTTTCAGGTCATATGTTTCATTTGGTCAGTCATTAGTTGGTAAAACCTCAAAACATGTATGACTTGTGAAACAAGAGCAATAAAGCAAGAGGAGTGAGTGCTGCAGGATCCACTGGGTTAAATCTTAGAAAATACAATTAGGACATAAAGTAACCAAAAGATTCTGTTTGATACGTGTGTGACTGAAATAAAGCGTTGGTGATGAAGCGGTGTTTTTAATCACAAGTTATTCCTATGCCTTTCTTGTAATGAATGATTTTATGGTTATTATTCTCAAAACTGTGCATCACTAATACACACAAATATGAACATACTTATTTTATTGGCGGGTGTATTGCTGCGTTGAACCACTGAACCGTGGTAGTACTAAAATGTCACCACAAGATGTCAATGTGGAGAAAACCTTTCAACTTGTGTTCCGAAGCCTACGGACCCTTTTTGCCCAGACTCTTTCTAGTTTCATGAGGCCTAGCTTTCCCGTCACTGAGGACCAAGCCCTCCACTTAAATCTGCTTAAGTAAGTAAATAAGTAATCTTAATTTATATAGCATATTTCACATACCATTCACAAAACGCTTTACGATTGTTATGGTCATTTGTCCTCTCACTTCACACACCGAAGTGGAAGTGGGGTCACCATATAAAAGGAACTTGTTAGACCTATTGTACATGTTTTCTTAGTGGTAGGGGAAACCGCAACATACATACTCCACACGGAAAAGTCCTGGAGGTGGAATCAATCCCAGGACTTTCTTGTTGTGATGCATATAGCGCTCGCTAACCAATGCGCCACTATGCCGCCCCCAAAAAGCAGCATGGCGTCTAAAGAGGCCGTATTGTATCCCTTGCCTTCGGTCTTTGCTCTGGAGGATTTGTTGTGTGCTGTGAAAAGGGCAGTGGTGCTGAGCGGGGAGAATGCCTGGCGAGAAGCGTTGTGGCAGACCTCATTTAGGAAGCTGTCTGTTGAATGCTTGTTTATGGCGATGTAAGACAACCCTCGTGTTCATCTGTCCGGTCCCTGTTTGATCAGACTGTTTGCCACGTGTGATCCGCTTTGAAGTGCGGTCAGTCTGCAGCGCGCTTTGCTTTTTCCTGGACAGAGCCGTGCGGGAATTGCTGGTATAAAGAGAGCAAAAATGACAGCCAATGTTCGTGCGCTCACATATGCAGCAGAATTTATTTTAACACAATTACTTTTCCAGATGATCCTCAGGAGACTTGTTAGCGCCGTCAATACCCCAAACGAGGAAAGAAAGACAACACATTCCAGGGATTTTGCTGTGACAAAAGCGTGCATGCCAAGTTCTCGTTTATGTGTCATGTTTATGTTTGGTAAATTAAAGAAGTACATTAGTTCAACCGGAAACGCAATCATTGATAATCCAGCCAAATCGTGTACAGAAGTGTTCCCGGGCTTATCCATCAATCACGCAATTATAGTTCTGTGTTAATTTGAAGATTGTAAAGTGCTATACATTGGTACAGAGCAGAGGAGGAGCTAAACAGATCAATTGATTCTTGATTGCGGTTTCTTTATCTAAAACAAAAACCTGAAAAGGGGGCAACAGTAGCTCAGTTGATAGAGCGTTGGTCGTTGGACCTAATGGTCATGGGTTCGATCCTACCACGACCCATGTCGTCTGCTCCCACTGATGTCTGACCCCACTTTGCCTGAAGCCCCCGCTGAAAGATCAAGGCTGTATCTGTGTTGAAAGAGCAGCCATCTTCCTGTGGACCCACCACCTGCAGGAGGATCAGTGAGGTTCTGGTGCTTTGTGAATTGGGTGGCAGCTCTGATTGCCCCCCCCCCCCTGACCCTGAAATGGATCAATAAAGGGATGAAAATGAATGAAGGAATGAAAAACCTGAATAGTAGGTCACATATTGCTAACACACAAACACATAGATACTGTCACATCTACAGGTTTCTTCTCCTTTTCTCCTTTTCATGTTTGTACCAATTTGAGCAAGACATTTCTGCTATTCATGGATGAAGCACAAAACAACTCCAGGTCTGTTTTTGATGAGAGAACAATGTTGTAAATCTCAACACGCACTCGTTTTCTCTCATCCTCTCCTATTCGTATATAGTGACATGGAGCCTTAAATTCAATCTGCCTGATATAATTTAGTTTGACAAAGAAACCATTGTGGCCATATCCATACATCTCCATCCATGTCTCTTCTATCAGGAAACAGGCCAAAGTTCATAATCGCTCCGGTCCATCATTTGGAAATAAAAATCAAATATTGTCCCTATTGATGTTGTCTTCACATGCACGAGTCGCTGAAAAGTGCCAGCTCATTTTAAACATGCAGTCTACACGCCACATTTTGCCGACATGACCAATCTATCAAACTTAACTCGGCGCTACGTGCACATACTGCTATATCAGAGAGGAAAGAGAAGGCCAGGCAAAGCAACTGTCATAGATGCCATGATTGAATTGTTCCCGTGCACTGTCACCAGAGGGGTTATTACTTCAAATTAGCATACAAATTCGAAAGCGGGACAGATGGATTTGTCACATTCCAGTCGCCATCGTCTCTGCAAGATTGGCCGTGCTTTTGCTGGGCTATGGAGATAAGACACCTGCTCGGATCGCTGTTCGGGACATGGGCGCGGGATCGGAAGAAAAGGTGGGCGGACAGATTTCCAGAAATGCTGAGGTGTTCCACAATAAAACTCGCACCAACCCACAGTCTCCAATGCTGATGATGAGGCACTGTTTTGGGAACAGTGGGGCGGCAGGAAATTGAGCCGGTGATTCAGACTGCTTTAAGACTACAATGGATGTCTGCTGTTTGTATACGTTGGCTTATTTTGTTGAGTTACTGTCAAAAACACACATAAAATGGTCCCCCAAAGTCAGCAGCATGGAAAAGTTGCTGGTGTCAGTAGCAGCTGTGAGGAAAGTGTACACAAGATACGAACAATGCGCTTAAAATATGGTGTGGGTTACATCAATACTTGAAGTTGCTGGTCCGGGTAAGTTCGTGCATTTTTAGAACATCAAAGATTTAGTGACCAGGCCCTTGGAACCGATCTATACCTCCTGTCTCACATGCATGTCCAATATCTGTGGGCTTCTACTAGTGTAACTTGACTCCACACAGCCGTAATCCAGCGGTAAATTGTGATCAATGCTTCTCTTTCTCTCTGGCTTTGGTGTTTTCCCTGATTTAATTATGGCTGGTTAGTGGTTATGTGTTTAGTTCATTTTGGACAGGCACAAACAGAGCTATGGACACATATAATAGAGGTAGAATATAAAAAACATACATTATTTGGAGCTTTGACTCGAGCAACACAGCTCATCTCTAGGGAGAGATGTAAGAAAAGATATGAGATGTAATCTCAATTCCCCTGAAGCTTAAATCATGAAACTGTATTGATGTATGGATCATGCTAAACCGCTGGCTCCATGAAGCCTAATGCTTGCTTTGGCTTCTTTTCACTTAAGCCTGGTTCACACGAGACAATTTTAAAATTGTCGGCCGATTTTTCTCCGTGTTAGACCCCACACGGGGAGATTAAAAATCCTGCGTCTAACCACTTTGGTCGTGCAGTGTGTGGTGCGTAGCCACACGGCAAGATCACGCAAGCCCCCCCCCCCCCCGAGCATTCCCAGGTCAGACGGAAATCTCACAAAATTTGGTCGTGCAGTGTGTGGTGCGTAGCCACACGGCAAGATCACGCAAGCCCCCCCCTCTCTCGAGATCAAGCGTGACTTCAGAGTAAACAGTCATGGCGGACGAAGAGGATGCAGTGGCGATAGTGTGCAGTTTGTTGTTAACAGAGAAGACACGTAATCCAAAGAAAAGGCAATGGTCAAAGCCATGCTACTGTGTTTTGGTTTTTTTCCGGTGTTTCCTCACCGGCTTGTCACCTCGTCTTCTTATTGGCTACACGCCGTAGTCATGGCAACGCGCTCGCTTGTCTTCGGGGGACACCACACACGACAAGAAATCGGGCCAAAACAATCCAACATGTTGGATATCCCCGATTTGAGATCGGGAGCAGTCCCGATGTCCTTCCGAGCGACGAGTGCAGTCTTAACACACCACACACGGCAGGATAATCTGTAAGATTTTGTTACGGAAATCGGAGCGTTTCTTAAGATTGTCGTAAGGGGTAAATCGGGTCTAAATCGGCCTAAATATCCTGCCGTGTGAACCAGGCTTCACTCTGTAACAGTTTGTGTCACACTTACCATTTAGGACTTAAACAAATTTGAGTCGAGAAATGAACACAGAGGCAGCAGTGATCTGTAACCCGATAACAGAGGTCCAGAGAAAACATGCTGGTCAGATTCTACAATATGTTTATTGTTTATATTTCCATATTGTCCTTTTAAATCCAGATATTTACCTTTACATTCCACGGTGATGCTGAGGTGTCAGTCTTAATGTTTTCATACTTTCTTTACATTATGATTATTGACTTATTTTTTAATTCACAGTGCATTGGAAAAGTATTGAAACATATATGATAATGGATCAGTCTGGTTTAGAACTGTACTAATTCTGAACAACCCCAGGAAAAGCATAGTCCACTATTGTTTGTGCATTCAAACAATAATGTAGTACTTTGAGACTGTAGCACTTGAAAAACCACAATTTGAAAAGGATGGAGCAAGTGCCCTCAGATGACTCATTAGAATTATTATTGCACAAAGGCCAGTGCCAGACACACATTTAAACCCCCCAAAAACCACTTGTGGTGTGGCCTCCTAAAGCAGCCACCAACAAAATACAACTTGGAGACATAATGATTTTCATTTGTAATTATGGCAGAGTGAATCAATGGGAAGTATGAAAAACTGTTCTTACCTCAGGATCAATTCTATATAATTTCCAGATCAGCTCAAACTAATGGCTTTTCCATCGGCTTCACTTTGCAAAGGCTAATCTCTCTGGCACCATTTTGCGGTTCCGTGTACCGTTCCCCTGCAAAAGGCCTTCCACTTAAAATGCCGCCTCCCAACAGTCAAAAAATATTAAAGCGCACATGCTAATTTCCTGACTTAGCACATTACACAATCTGCAGGCTTAATTTAAAACTCCCATAGCAGACCTGGTATCTCCGGCTGCAGCTCCAGACACTACGGAGAGCCAAATTTGCTTACGCCTTTAGTTCTCGCACTATCTTTAGAGCGACGATCTGAGAGATGAAAAGTTAAGTTGCAAACAAGGTGTTGTCCCATAGTTCATCTTTACATGAAAATAAACATGATTACTGTAAACTACATCTGCTAGTATTGTTGAGTCTGCACTTTGGATTTAAAGGGCATATATTTTTGGGGGGATTTTGTTGAACAATACCTGAATTTGTTGTAGGCCCATCCATGTTAAAGCTGGGGTATTAACTTTCCAACCACAAATATGTTATTATTAAAGTTAATTATATATATATAAAAAAAAAAAATGGTTCAATCACCAATTTTCACATGTGTGTATTTTTTCGGCCTGTCAAATTTTCAGTCTAAAACCTAAAAAATCACTCGCTTTCGCCCAAATTGTCAAATAGTGACTTACAGGGCTCATTTTTCTCCCCGCAAAAGATACAAGTTTTCAAACAAGATAAATACTTCCTGTACTTTTTCTAGTTTGTTCTCAACATGTTATTTTTTTAGAAAGCAAAGGGTAAGGAGTGCTGCGTGATAAAAGTGTGTAAAATTATTTAAAAGACCAGGTGCTCAATTGGAAGAGGGGTTTAACTTAGTAACAAAAAATTGAGTTTTGACTTTTCAGGTAAAAAGCAAAGGAGATCTTAGAAAATCAAAAAATCCAAGGCACTCATGGTCAACAGTTTAGAAAGGTTAAAAAGCCTTTATTTTCTCATGGCTGTAGATTAAAATACGCACCAAAGCGTTTCAGCCTATAGCTTGGCCTTTTTCAGGGTGCAAAACCTGATTTTCTTCACCATTTGCCTTTTACCTGGAAAGTCAAAACTCCATTTTTTGTTACTATTTTATTTTTTTACTCTGAAATGGAATGACTGTATTTATTAGGGAAAGTTGGATAACCCAGCTTTAATGTGAGAAATACTCACACCATCTTGGATTTCAATGTTAATAGCAGAATCCCATTTCTCACTTTGACAACAAGATGACAGTGCTGGCATTCAAGTTATATTTCTGTATATTCCAACTTAAAAAAGGACAAAATTAATACAAATAATGTGTAATTTTTGTTCTTTCATAATGTTTTTGTTAACATTGTTGCATGATTATAAACTAATGTATTTAATTTAATGGCGGTTGAGAGCAGACATAGTTTTTAATTGTTCAACCTTGAAATACATTAGCAACGACATCTTTAACAAGTACTAATGATAAATGCTTAAATGCGTTTCCTTATTACGGACATGAATCTTAAATTGACGGTTTCTGTGTCTGTAAATGTGGTCAATTGTCCGAGATGCCACAACAGGGCCACACAAAAACAAGTTAATATTTCAGCCCAAACAATTTGTGCGTATAATTGTATAATTTTTCCATTATTTCCAGTGGTGTAGAAACAGCAGGTGAACTTGCCATTTCTGGGGCAATTTTCATTTAAGAGGATTAACTGCACAAGGAAAAACAGGACGGCAAACAAAAACAGTCTCGATGTTAAAATGGAGTTGTAACATTGTTTTTTTTAATGTTCTTTCATCCAGCTCCAGGAGTGAACGAAAGGTAAAGTAGATTACGCTGTCAAACAATATTACGAAAAGGGATGAAATTAAGTACACAAAGATACAAACAAATATGCCATGATTAGAAATGACCTTTGAAAAATACTGTTAAAGAGCAATCCTAGAAAAGTCAATATCAGATGTAATAAACTATGATATATGAACTATGAACAATACTCAGATTCAGACTTCTATATTGATCCCACCAGAGGTCATTCATTCTAGCAGCATAAAAGCACATCACAAATATAGAAAATCATAGTCTGAAATACTGCCATAGGATTAAAACAGAGGGCGACAGTGGCTCAGTTGGTAGAGCATTGGCCTTTGAGCCTGAAGGTCGTGGGTTCGAGCCCACCGTAAGACCTACTTCACGACTCCCACTGATGTCTGCTGTCGTTGTGTCCTTGGGCAAGACACTTAACCCCACTTTGCCTGAAGCCCCCACTGAAAGATCTCAGCTCCTGTGGACTCAGCACCTGCAGGAGGATCAGTGAGGGACTGGTGGTGTACTGGGTGGCATCACTGACAGCCAACCCAGAAATTGATTAAGGGGAAGAAAATGGATGAATGGATTAAAACAATAATTTCTGAAATCCATCACTGAAAATGGCCAGCAGAGTAAGACAAATTTTTGATGAAGGAACAAAATATGCTGAATTTGACCTCAAAAACTGGCAACACCGCTGGTCTCTGATGAGATAATCTGCTTTAAAACCTGAAACGTACATAATGTGAACATTGTAATCTGAATTAAGACTATAATCTGTCATGGTTTAGGTATATTTCCAGTTTTATTTTGTAATTTGCTTCGTCCTGTGTTTTCTTTAGTTGTACTTCCTGTTGTGTGATGCCCCGCCCCCTTGTGTCTCACCTGTGTCTCGCTAGCCGTTAGGGTATTTACGTCCTTGTCAGTCCCTGTTTGTTTACTTTTTTATATTTTCTCTGGATTTATGTTTGGTTTTACTTTTATAAAATCCATCATTCTGTGTTTTTGGACTAATTTTTTTTTAACCTACATGAAAAAATACACAAGGCAAGGCAAGTTTATTTATGTAGCACAATTCATACACAAGGC